AAATGAAAAACAACCCTGACTTAGAGAAAGACTATATATTTAATAATTTAGTCAAAAGAGACAAACAAGAAAGAAAGAGCCGGGCTTCAAACTTCAGAAAGGTGACAAAGTAAAAATAGAAATACCTAAACGCGACCCATATGAAAATACTATTGACTATGACAACAATGGGAACCCGACAAGGTACTCACATTCGTGTTCGTAAAAATAGAAGAAAGTATACAAGAGAATATTATGAAGTTTTAGGCAAACATGGCAAAATGTACAGACTGCAAGCAGAAGATAAAACTACTATTGTCAGACTCGTTTCAAACTTGTCAAAGTTCAAGGTGGTATACTTTCAAAGACAGTTCCTAACAAATATAAGACAACTCCTGACGAATATGCTAAAGAAGTTGAAAATGACGACTAAGCATTTCTATACCATGCGTAAACTGTCATGTAAGGTGGCATGTAGTCTTTACTTTGTCCCGTTGTTTGCGTATATCCTGAAACGCGATGTGTATGGTTTCCTCCTCCCTCAGTGTTACTCCAGTAACAATCTATAGCAAACTTAACGTTGTCTTTAACATCATATCCTTTACCTTTTGTCATTGCTGACCAATCCCAATATCTATGCTTATGCCAACCTGCTTGAGATGTACTTAAATCTATGTAGTGACTATGTGCAGGTAAATTTTCACCTGAAATCGTTTTACTTCCACCTGTTTCCTTTGAAGAGTTTGCACAATACAAAAACCTGTCGACTATTTGAGTCCAAGTTCCAAAACCAAGTACTACTTCTGGTCTGGTAGAGTTCATTGACGTATAAATAGAGCCTATAGGATATAATGTTTGAAGTATTTCTGTCTTTAATGTTTGAAGCTCTGTTTTGTCTGCTTTCTTGTCATATAAATCTTGAGCAGTGAATTTAATATTATATTCATCCTTCATGACATAAACATCTTTACATCTAATGTTTCTCATCGTCGTTATGTCGTCATCCGATGTTAAACCTTGTGGAAAGTTAGGAGGTTTACAATATAATTTATACCCACCAGTTTCTTCAACCGTTCCTTCAATACTTTCTATAGCAACAGTTGTAAAACTTGTATGTGTATGGTTCTTGTCTGCTTTCTCTCTAATCATCGTTAACATAAGTTTTATCTGCTTTAAGGTCTAAACATCCTGAAACCCATCCTGTATTAGCTTTAGATTTTAAAATCTTTGATGTCCGTTCATGGTACCAGTCAACCCTTTCTATAATTTCTTTATCTTTTTCATCCACATATTCCTTATCCGCCTTCTTCACTAACACACTAGCCATAAGTCCCTTATCTACCTTATTTTCAAGGCTAACGTTTAAGTCTGTTATTTCAGATATAGAATGTGTATGAGTCTTTTTAGAATATTCGTTTTCAGCTCTTGTCACTTCACTTGACATTTTATTGTCAACATATGTTTTGTCTGCTAGTTCAGGATGAGTATGTTCTTTTGTTGCATAAGCATGTGTTAGCTCTTTCTTCTTCTTTTGCTATTGCATCGTCTACATATTCTTTGTCAGCTTTGTTGTCAACATCTGTTTTCAAAAGAAGTTCATTATTAGGTTTCTCGTTTAAAGTTCCTTTTTGTTGGATTTATACAGACAGTATTGTTCTTCTTGTCTTGAAACAGAAACTCATCTGTCATTGGGTTTAATGTCAGTTTTAAGTTTCCTTCTTTCAATGACTCAGATATCTTAGAATAGTTTGAAAAGTTTGTTGTGTTCTTATTTAGAGCTTGCATAATGAGTTGTCGGTTGTGTTGTATTTCTCTTATGGAAGCAATATCTTTCGACATTTTTATTCTAGATAAAATATGCTTTCAATAGAAAAAGAAAATTCAAGAGTTGCTACAACTAAACCATTAGATGAACTTTTTACTAATGTCGGTCAAAAGTTTGAGACAGATACCGTAAAGCATGAAGGCTATCGTTTTGACTACCCATTAAGATGGCTAAGAGACCCATCTGTCACAAAAGCTATTGGCTTTCGTAGAATGAAGTTCATTTCAGAAGCCATACATGGTTTCCCATTTACGGTCGGTTTTGAAGTTCGATACTATAATACAAAGAAAAACGTATGTATGAGAAATTTGAACAGGGAAAACTTTTACAAGTTAGTTTGCTTGTAAACTTAGAAACAACTCTTCAAGCTTTTCAAGAAAAAATAAACGATATCTATATCGAATATGCAAACCAGTATAACATTGACGAAGGAGAATACCATCTCGATATTATTTATGACAGGAAAAATGCAACTGTTAAAATCAATAGAATAGAAGACCTTGGAGAAAACGTTTATATTTCTACAAAATATAACAACTTGGCATGGTATAGATTTATGAGGATGTTAAATCAGCCTGCAGCATATCCAGTACACCCAGACTTTTATGAAGTCGAAAACCCTAATGGAACATATGAAAATGTTTTCGACCCAGATGCTATTATTGTTCATGCTTCATTTTCTGGCGCCCAAAACTCTTTCTTATGCTTGGCAAATGACTTTTACGAAAAACTACAAAGTTATACGAACCACAAGTGGAAGTATTTCAGACTTTCAAGTATGGTTTACTACAGATGGAAGAAAAAGAATAATTCCATTATACCATGCGTTTTACTTAGAACTTAGTTTCATATACAACTACTATCGAACGGTAAAAATATAATTTTTTAATACGGTTGAGGTGTTGGATTTGGTTGCCAACTAGACTGTGGTGCAGGTTCAGGCTGTTGTATAACAGGAGCTTGTTCTTCTGGTTCAGGGTCTTTAGGTATAATACCAACAAACTGACCTACTCTTTTACCAATATTTTTTGACTCCGTTCCAAATTCCTCTTCCTACGGTTTTGACGCCATTCCATATACCTCTTCCAACTCTTCTGAAGAAGTTTCCAATACTACTGAAGAAACCCATTTTACTATATGTAAAAATCTAATGTCCGCCTAGTCTCTTACGTTTCCTGTTGAGTTCCATAGCATTCTTTAACTGGAGCTCATACATTCTGTTTCTCCTCTGGTAGAAAACATATTCTGGGTCAACTCCTGTGTTCGCGTCATCTGCATAAAGTTGTTTATATCCCACTTCAGGGTTTGTATAAAAACTCTTTCCATCTCATATTTGCATACCATGGTGGCAAACCTAACGCAGCGTCATTTGACATGGCAGTTTGCATTTGTACATCTGTTGGCACTTGACCATAGTTTGCCATTGCAGTTTGTATTCTAACTTCATTTGGAATATTCTCTGGGTTTGGTTGTCCAGGTTGCTGTGCATTCGCTAAGTTCTGTGCGTCCATTTAATATTAGATAAAAATATCTCTTACGAGTACATATGCTGAACATTTGCAGGCATTGGTTCATCTTCATATTCTCTGTACTTTTCTGCCACGTCAAATAAATAAATGACACAATGGAAAAAACCTAAAACAAGTAGTCCTATTTCAAACCACATTTACTTACTAATAAAATTTCTTTGTTATGACACTTTCTCCAGTTTATAGGACCTCTCTCATATTCTATCTTGTCATATATAAACTCATAGTCATGTATGTCCTCTAACCATCTCATAACGGTTTCCAAACCACTTTTATCGGATGTAAAGTAAAAGCATGGATGGTTATGTATAACGTCTAAAGTTTCTAAAGAGTCTCTCAAAGTCCAGTCTACTTGGTATTGAAAATCCCATGTGTTAAAGAACGGCGGGTCCACTATAAAGAAAACATTTTCCTTGTCTTTATATTTTTCATACAAATCTGTCCAATGACATCTCACAAACTCTATACCCTCAATATATTTTTCTATGTCCTCTTTGAAAACATTTGTATAGTTAAGATATAAAACTTTTGACATAAGTGTTTCAATGTCATGAACTCTTATAGAACCACTATATAATAGTCTAGCAGATATACTATCCCAGTCTATATATTCTGCTTTTTTCAAAACCTCTCTCACAATATTTTTCTTATCTAATGGTATACGTTCCATCTTACCTATCTGAATCTTTTCTTTTAACTCTTTCAATATATTGTTTGTGTCTGGTATATGTTTGAGACGGTCCATATAGTTGTCGAAGTCATTGCATATAATCTTTGAGTCTGGGAATATTATATGGCACAAATGGGATATATAGAAACTTCCACCGAACAAATCTACAAATGTTAGACCATTCGGTAGTTTCTTAAGTTGTCTCAATATAATATCTTTACATCTACTCTTATTTCCAAAGAACGGTAACGGTGGTTTTGTAAAATTCATTTATATATAATAATAAAAATGTTTTTACCCGAAAAGTGACAGAAAAGTGACAAAGCATGAAAACATATATAATTTGTGAAAAGCGACACATTATATAATGTTTTCGACCCAGAAGAAGGCTTTCCGAATAAAAACTTCATTTATACTAAACTTTTTATGGGCTAGAGGGCACGAAGTGCCCGGAAGGCCATCCCAAGAAAAAAAAAAAACTTCATTATAATAATCATCTTCAGGGCTAGAAGGCACGAAGTGCCTGGAAGCCCCATTACCTTTTTTTTTTTTTTTTTTTTTTTTAATGTTGCTCAACATAGTGTACTGAGCACAAATATCATATTAATTTTCATTTTTCTCTCAATTTTTTTGATTTTATATCAAAATCGTAAAATGTAAACCATTGAAAATCGTACCATACATGGAAATTTTTTTATTCAAACAAGCTATTATAGAATTCATTATGAGCCATAAAACTCCTAGTAGTCGGTAAAGGACTAGAATTAATAGAAGGTGTATAATTCATATTTGTTGTAACGTCTAAATCTGCATTTTCATCTTCATGATTTTCTTCCATTTCAAAGTCATCGTTTGCTATTTCTACTTCCGCAATACTAACGATTTCTGTGCCATCGTGCATTATCTGAGACATTCCGTTTGGTGGCAATTCGCACTGATTAAACCAGTCATCCTGTGTTTTTGAGTAAATTCTGTAGTCATCATAGTCTAATGGGAATTCCATAGAGTCTATATCTGCTAATATATCGTCGAATAATTCTTTTAATTCTGGGACAAGTTTGTAGATTGGCTTTAGCCTTGGTGAATCTATGTATAATTTGATATCATTGACTGCTGCTTTGAAGCATTCTGAGCTGACGCATGTCAAGTTGTTGTAAAGAGAGAAAATTTCGTTAATTAATCTCTTTGGACTCATGAGGAAAAGATCTGGAAGATTTTTAACATGCAAATATACAATAGAGCCGCTTTCTACTCCAACATCTGGGAGGAAAGTTTCGTCTTTGAGGACTTCACCCTTGTAAATGATTGTCATGTCGCGAGTGTTAGCTTCAAGTTGAAGGAACATCTCTCCTTTAAGCTCTGATACTGTTAATGGATTTTCCCAAGCAACATAAAAATCGTATTCAGGAAGGACGCGTACAATGTAGTGTTGCATGTATCTGAAAATTAAAAAATATTTTTTTGAGAATCCTTTGAATTTATTTGAGAGGAATTTTTTATTAGCAGAATGTTGATGTATATAATATATAAACATCGTCTAGACATATAAAAATTTTGTGTACCAATGATTGAGAGAGAGTTAAGAATAACTTGAACAAAAAACGCCTCTATCAACAGAATTTAATTAGCCTGCTATTTTTGATAATATGCATTTTATGCATAGCAGATCCACATTCAGATTTTCATTTTTTGTAAAAATTAAATTCGAATTATTTACGATTAAATAAAATAAATAATGGTGAAATAATAATTCATCCAATACATGCTTGTGAATGATATTATTAAATAAAAAATTTTGCGTGTATATTTTGATAAGATTTATTTCTATTTTATTTTTGTTGTAAAAATATTCTATTAACATTTATCTATCATTATGTAAAATTTTATACTACACTCAATTAATTAATTTCAATAGAAATGTTTATACTACGTTGAGATAAAGTTTATTAAATTATTATTGTAATCATTATCCAATACCGAAATAAATATAAAATTCTCTAATTCAATATTGTGAAATCCTTAATGGCTCCTTTCAAAATTGTGCAGTGTCAAAAAAACAATAAGAATTTTTCCTTCATAACGCAACGTAATTAATACATTAATTGCACTACTATATACTAGTTGAACGTACTTCTATTCTCTTCCTATTGAACCTATAGAAATTCGAACCTTATATATGTTGGTATTCTTCTTTTCATTTTCTTGTTTGCATCATGTATCTCTACATATTCCCAAGTTTATGTTCATTTCTGCGAGCAATAACAATGCCGATCTATTTGTTTCATAAATACAAGATTTTAATGATGAAAATATGTTTTAAAACAATACTTACGGATGTTTTACATATTAAAACATTTTTTTGATTTCTATATTTTTATTTGATTGAAATCTACTCAAAATCTCATTTATATCTTGAGCATTCTATGAGATATTCTTCTTTTTGCAGTAAATACTATTTAGGATTCCAGCTATCATATATATGCCTTATGTTTTTTTCTGATATTTTTTTACAAAATATCTTAATTTTAATAACTAAGCTCTTTTTCAAACATAAATATTTAAGAACATAGACCAGACAATTCATTGCATGGATGATTGATATAAATATTTTCAAAAATTACAAAAATAACTAATTTATTATAAACAAACAATATATTAAATGTCAATCTTAAAACTGAGAGATTGACCATACTTCCAGTTCATGAATTTTGAAGTAAGGTGTCTTTGTAAGACTTGGAGAGCCAAATGTAGTACATGGATCAGATACAGCGTTCAAAAACGTTCCATCAATCCATATTGCTGTGGATCCGCCTCCTCCTATTGCAATTTCTTCTTTTGTCGAACAAATAAAGTATTGATTCGAGTTTTGCCAGCGATAAGCATGCAATTTCGGGTTAAACGTAAAAACAAATGTTTCTCCATTACCGTAAAACCTCTTCGACAGTTTAAATCCGGCAGAAATATAAGCTCCGATTTTATCTCCGGAATCTGTACGAATAAGTATAACAGCTGGTGATTTATCCTTACATTTCTCGAAGAACGTCAAGTAACTTGCTCCGTCGTTTGATAATTGGAACAATAAATTCCAATTTGCAAGTCTGAACTGATAAGGTAAGTATCTTCTTACTTGCTCGATCATGTTTTCATCGGCAATCGTAGACGTGCCTCGTAATTCGACACTTTGTAGTTTCGCCTTTTTCTGAACGACTTTTTCTGTTTTTGAGTCATTATGTTGTGGTCGGACAGGCGTAAAGTTCATTCTTCTTTGTATTTCTTTCGTCTGCTTACCAATGAGGTCGGATAGCGGAGTTATTTCCATCGATGAACCGACAAATGCTAATGTTTCAGTTTTTGATAAGTCATTTATATCTGGGAAGAACGTAATGATTAACAACTCTGGATCTCTCGATGAAATATGCTTTCCGCTCTTGATTGCTGGAGAAGGAAGATGAGTATGTTCTAAGTTACCACAAAGATCAACAAATAAAGTAGTTCCTTTGGAATATGGAATAAAAGCAAGTAAGGCACCTTTACAGGTAAGTTTTCCTAAAACTTGCTCATTTTCAGGTAAAATTTGTAAATCTTCGGAAAGAATGGAAACATTTTCAGCAACAAGAATGGTATCAAGAATATTTGGTGGTTTAATAATTAATTTCATGTCATTGTAAATAAAATCGCTTGAAATATTATTTAAGTCACGTAGCCACTGAACTGTTAAACCAAACTTAACTGCTATTGTAACTAATGTATCATGCGGTTGCACAGCATATATTTCCTCTTTTTCTTCTGCTGGTTGTTGCATTTTTAAATTTTTAGATCGGAAAAGTGTTTGAAAAGTTTGTGTCACATTTTGGAACCACAACTTCGGACTTATTATTTCTTTTTTGAATTACTGATATGGAGATTATAATACAGTTGGTATCCTAAGAAAATGATCAGATGCAAAGAAAATTCAATGAATCAAATTATTTTTAAAAACAAAAAGAATTGCATAAGTAAGTCAATTTCAATGGGAAATTGATTCTTAATGTCACTTTTCAAAATCTACGATAAATCATAAGGTAGTCACAAAATCTAAGTAGTGAGGCTCTCAAAAATTGAACCGTACTCCATACAAAATTTGTGTACCCTCACTACTTAGATTTTGTGGCCTTCAATTGAGAGGTTAGTTTTGATAGAGCACGTTATAAAATTAAAAGGGAAAAATAAATAAAATTTAAACATTTAATTATATATAATGTAAGGAGTGTAATTCCAAATTTTCTAAAAACTATTCAAATTTGAGCATTTTTTGGAAATAGTAAATCTAATATGTACATCTAATAACAACATGATTCATCACCTTTTCAAGCTCTGCAGTCAATTTTTTGAAATTTGATTGAAATAAATGTAGCAAAAATTACATTTCATTAGGGAATATATGAGTTTCTCTGGAAACAGGCTGATAAATTTTAAATTTTGTCCAATCAACATGAATGCATTGAGAAATTTGGATTGATTTTCTGGTAGAATCTGGAACAATTCAACCATGTATAAATGGATCATGTAATCATCATGAAATGTTAGTGTTAGAGTTCAAAAGAAACAGAATGAGTGGAAATCAAACACAATCTGAATAATTTTAAATGTATACAATCTTTAAGTTTGTATTTTGAATTCTACATATATGATTGTGTAATTCGTTCTAAGGGTTTCGTTTTGCGAAAAAAACGTACAATACGCAATTTCGCTAAAAAAACATTTAGCTAGCAATTTCGACCTTTGACTCCACTCAAGACGTCACTTTTTTAATTTTGCGGTATCATATTTTTGGAAAATCTTTATGAATATTATATAAAAAGTCTCTGTAATATCTATATTTCATATTTTTATCGATTTTTAAAGTTTTTGCGAAAAGTATTCAATTATTTTTGCTATTTGGTCGGGTAAATGTCAGATTTGCGACATTTTCTGATATGATATTCAGATTCTACGTTGATAATAATGCTTATAGTGTTGCATGCTAAGTTCGGTCAACGATAGAAATTGAGTGGAAATTAATCGTCGAGGAAGTACGATTATGTAAAGTAAAAAAATGTTGTGGGATTTTTAATATTATATATTATTTTATAATAAAATTTTTTTGAGTCATTTTAAGAAGCACATATAATTTTTTGAATTTAAAAATTAAAGTAGTGTCAAACGAATTTATCACTTAATTTAATACTCAGATTTCTTAAAATTAATGAAAAAAGGTTTTCTGAGAACTTTTGAGAATGTTTTTCAAATTCCATTATTGAAAATATATAGGTATTGTATGAAATTCAAACTCTATATTTATTAAAATTCTAAATTTTTAATAAAATAACTTTTCAGAGGAATATGATTTTGAATGGTTGATTAATAAGAATAAAAATGTCTACGATTTTAAGGAGGGAATTGTTCCTTATGAGGTATACATCATAACTATATACCTCATAAGGAACAATTCCCTCTTGATAGCTGGGAAACTTTCTCTGAATAACTTATATTTGGAGAAAGTTTCCCAGCTATCTATTAGAAACTAAAGGCTGTGAGGCACTAATATATAATCAGTGCCTCATAGCCTTTAGTTTCTTATTAAAAACGAGAAAACTTGTTCGAAATGATAAACAATTTCGAACAAGTTTTCTCGTTTTAAGGAGGGAATTGTTCCTTATGAGGTATACATCATAACTATATACCTCATAAGGAACAATTCCCTCTTGATATCCTGGATATTTTTGAATATATTTTTTTAATTAAAGTTCTCAAAAGTATTATCAAAAGTGATTTTTAAAAAATATCTCCAATTAATTAACTAATTAAAAGTATTATATTTTTAAAATTAAATAGTTTTTCAATTTTTTTGAAGGAATTGAGATACTTCCCACGACAATAAAATTGAGAGGTTTACATTATGACTGATCTTAGCATGCAACAATAGAACCCTCTTTATTGTGTCAAAATTGCGAAACCGATAGCAAAAATATCTCGCAATATCAAAATTGAGATATTGAGTGAATTATGCATTATAGAGATTAAAAATCTGATTTGTGAAAACATCTCATCAGTTTCTAGCTAATTCAAAAATCTTTACTACTTATTCGATTAAAATGAAAAGGGAATAGTTTCATTATGCTTTAAATGACAGCCTTATAATATAATCATAGTTTTCGCTCAATATGCAGCATTTTTTTTTTCGAAATCTATGGTCAATGTCCTAAATACTGATTGCTTTGCATTCATATCTCTTACATTTTCTATACCCACATCACTATTCATTGCTATTCCTATCTTTTTCATTTTTGTTTGTTTCTCATAATTTCTCGAAAAACATGATAACTTGATATTTGTAAATATCATACTTTATAACGTAAATAAGAACTTGACCTATTAAGAAAAGCAGTAATGAAAAGAAAATCTGAAATTCATAAAAATTACAAGTTTCTGATGACAATTAGCTTAATTAAACCAGGTACAAGATTATATAATTGTATTTTCTATCCAATTATCCATATAATATCTTATCCAGAAAAAATAACTTGATCAATACCAAATGATTTTTTAACTAGTAAATAAAGTATTTTCTTTACACACACATTGTATATCATAGTTTTTTTTTTGGTTTCGCAAAACATCCAAAAACAAATATGCTATAAAAGTGACAATTTTAGCAAAACGAAACCCTTATCACATGTCGGAAATATTCGTTCTTTCAAATTTTCGGATTCAGGCATGTTTTGATAAAATTCATTCCCAAAAACGTCAATTAACAATTAAATTTAGTGTATTTTAAATATATATACGTATTATATTTTATAAATTATATTAAATTCGCAAAATTTTAAGTTTTAAACAAAAATAAAAAATGTTCAAAATATGAAATTATGCATAGGATATTAAAATTTACATGTTAGCAATTTTTTTGAATTGCTTTCAATTTTCATATTGAAATTTTTAAGATTTTTTTCTGAAATAATAAGCAAGAATATCAACCTAAATAATATTAAATTCCATGCGTTAATTTCCCCTCAAAAGTCATTGACCGCCTCTCAATCTAGATTTTGTGAGTACTTTATATTGAAGGATTGCTATATAAACCAATTTATATGTGAATAGAATTTATTGCTTTTACTACATAACTCCATGCAAAGATGCCACTTTGGGTAAACAGCATATATTCTTAGAAAAGCAACTTTAGCCAAATTTCATATATGATATGCTACATATTGATCAAGTTTTAGTATCACTTTTATAGCGTGGTATTCATGATTTTTCTCTTATTTTTGTAAATGTAACAAGTAAATACATCAGATTTAAATTGTAAATGTAGTTTATCTCTCTCATCTCCTTTTTAAAAGGTATTACATACATACGAACGCATGGGTCACTCAATAATTAGCGTGATAATAATTGAGGATAGACTGTAATCGTAATTTTATTTTTGGACTTATATTTCGACATTTTGAAGTCGCTTGAAAGTCTTGCAAATGATTAAATTTGGAAAATTTGACCTAAGTCTGCATTATTTTGATGACTTAAACAATTCTATAAATCTGTTTTCCTAAAAATTTAAAAAGATATAATTTCAATTTCCCTAAATTTATGTAATTCATATATCACCAAAATATTTGGACTGCATTTCGTTTGTCTGCACCTAATTAAAGTCTAAATACCAATTAATTTTGGAGTTGCATTGCTTTTAATGTAAAAATGCACGTTTAGAAAAAGACGATAATGATTAAATGACAAAATCGATAACGACGACGATTAAATTACAAAATCGATAACCTCTCAAAAAAATCAGAAAAAAATTATTTATCTTAGAATTCCATTTATCGATAGTCAATTATTGATTTTCCAATGATTCTTGATTCTATTTTTCAAAAACATGTCTCATACCAACTAAGGGAATTTAATTAAAAAATTTACGACGACCATGGGATTCGAACCCACGCGGATAAATCCACGGGATTAGCAATCCCGCGCCTTAACCACTCGGCCAAGCCGTCTAACCAATAATTTTGATTTTGTGCCTCTGCTGATTAGATAATCTAGTTTTTGATAAACGGTCGATTTTTCACAATGAATTTAAGTCAGAATGAAATAACTCTTGAACCACATCCTTGCAATTGTAAGTCTCCAATAGATCGACTAGCGCAAGAAAATCACACCCTTAAACTAAAAATTATTGGTTTAGAATCTCAAATCAATACATTACAAACAAAAATTTCTTCAGAACAACAAATTGCCGAAACATCTTACAAACAACAAATTTCTGATTTAGAACATCGTCTTCAAATTGCAAATACTCAAATTTCTTTGTTAAATGATCAAATCAAAAATAATCAATCAACTATTTCTCAATCTCAAACAACGAATAAGTTAGAACTTCAAGATCAATTAGATTCTATTATTACCGAGAATAAAAATCTCGTAAATAAATTACAAAACTCTCAAAAGCAAATAGACAAAGATAAAAGCTACTATAGCAACAAGTTATCTTCATTGAATGCAGAGATATCTCAGATTTACTCATTGTTATCCACTTATTTTGGATCTCAAGTTGATTCATTATCAAAATTGAACGATTGTGTAACAGTTTCTAAAAATCAAGCTCCAAAAGTTGATAATCAAAATGATTATATTGCAAAAATCAAAGTTCTCCAAAGCAAAAACAAAAATCTTAAGTCCGTATTAAAAGAGCAATTGAAAAACTATGAAACACTACAAAATACGTTTCAATCCTATCATAATGAAATGGAGAATTTCAAAAGTGCGGCGTTAAACAGGGATTCTGAGTATAAATCTGAAATTGACGACTTAAATTCTCGAATTGATGTTCTTACATCGAAAATTACGGAAAACAAAGAAGCAGAGATTGAATCTCCAAAGGAAGTCCCCCAAACAATCATCGTTGAGCCACAACAGCCTACTTCTCCAACAAATTCAAATGATAACGAACTTGAAGAGCAGCTTGTTCTAAAAATCAAAAAATTGAACTGTAAGATTATAAAGAAGAATAAAGAATTACAGATTTTATCACAAGCTCTGCGAGAAAAAGAAATTAAACTTCAAGATTTTGATGTCAAATCTGAAACAGACAGATTAGAAAAAGAACACATGGAATCCATGCTAAATGATACACAAAAGAAGCTCGATGAAGCAAACACTACAATTGAAAATCTAAAGTCACTTAAAGAAAATTGCGAAATTTCTGATATAACAGCAAGGAAATTGCACAGACAGAAAGTCGTTATTGCCGATCAGAATGAAGAAATTAACAGATTATCAAACCAAAATACAAAACTTTTAGATAACATCAAATCTTTGAACGTAACTGTACAAAGATTAGAAACCGAACTATCAATTGCTAAAAACGCAATTGAAACAGCAAAGATCGTTCAGCTTCCACCTCCAAACGTTGAAAAATCAAATAATTCTGATACATCTGGAATTCAAATTGAATGGGAGCTTTATGATGGAATACCATTCGAACTACAGTCCAGAATAAGAGAGATTTCATGCCAAGATAGCCTTAGTTTGTCATCAAAAATCAAAATGATCATAGAAACTCTTACAAAATACTATAATTCCAAGATTGATACGATGGCAACTGCCAAGCAAGAGCTTATTCGTGCATTAAAGCGTATTGAATTCGGCTTGCAGCCATTTGTTGAAGAAATTATTTATACATTAACAGGAAGGAAGCTCAATTTCGATTCAATTGTTGAAAGCCCCGAAATTCAGAGTTCTGCAATTAAAGTGGCAGCATCCAAGATGAGATCTCCTGTTGAAATTGAAAGTTTAAGGAATCAATTAAATTCAGCTCGAACAGAAATACAAGAGTTGAAGAAGAAAGTTGAAAAGAAGTCTAAAAGTGTGGTTTATGACAGTGAATCTAGTATAGAATCCCTAAGACTAATGAAAGAAAACTCAGAATTGAAGAAATTAATTGAAGAGCAGAGGGAATCAGCAAATTCTAAAATAAGAGATGCTAAATTTACTATTATAAATGAGTATGAAGCAGTTATTTCAAAGCTCAAAGAAAGATGCGCAAAACAAAAGAAGACAATAGAAGATTTGATGGAGCAGCTATCAAATGTTGCAAATTAATGTTATACTTATTCATTTTTTGTTAAAAATTAACTTATTATTACTTGAATTTCATATTTCTTTTATCAAAAAATATATTTTTAGGAATTGTGCAATGTATGCATCAAATGTGCTGGTGAGTATTAAAAGGGTAAGAAAACAATTCGAATTGATTCTTAATATAAAAAAAATGGATTTTATTAGAAGGAGAAAGTTCCTGTTTCATCAAAAGAGATAGAGTTGGTAACTATCTTGCAAGATAAGCACCTTATTATGATATTGTAAAAATATATTTAGTTAAGATTTATATATCATCAAGTAGTGATGGTATACAAAAAATGATAAAATTTTAAAAGAAAGTATTTAAACATTTTAGTCGGAATATCATGTCAATGATAAAATAGAATTAATCGCAATAATAATGAGTGAAACGTTTTTTTCGATGAATAAACAATTAAAATTAAACTTCAAATAAACGTCTTGTTAATATTTGTACGAGGAGATTCTGTTTCTTCTTCTGGAGCTGTCTGCTTTCGCAATTTTCTTTTATTAAGCCAAGCGCAAAGAGGGCGCATAATGCAAAGGGGATATATAATGGCCAAAATAAATAGAAAAATTACTGCAAAGCAGGAAAAGTTGAAGATTTTTGATGAATTGAATTTAACAACCCTGATTTGCATCTTTTAATTGTCACTTTTTCTTATAATTAAATTCTTTTATCATTCTCCCTTTCAGGGAAAGATCCGCAGATACTGAAATTTTTCGCATGCCAAAAAGTTTGGTGGTGATTTGTTTGCATCGGGCCCTATGTCATCAAGTCTTATTGAATATTATCAGATATGACGCTTTAAATGAATCTTTCATATCCTCATTGATTGATGATTGGTCATACTTATGGTGCTTTTTATAATTCTTAATATCTTATTTCTCTATTATATCGATTGTGTTTATATTTATTATTATGTCCTTAAAATCTATGGAAATCCCGAGAGTTAGATCATGATATGAGTATCAGATTATAAGATAATAATTATTTAAATACAGATAGAAGCTTATTAAATTGACAAAAGGTGACCAAACTATTTTTTGAAAGTCCGCCATAACTTTAATGGTACTATTTCAGCGTGTACAATGAATACAAAAATTCTAAGAGTGCCACATAAAATAGTACTTTAGATTTGAGTTAATGCTACCAAGCAAATGTTAAAAAGATGACTTTAGTGTTTTGATAATCAAAGATTAAAATCATTATTGTCTAAATCAATAATCATAACGACAGAAGTTAATGTTTTTCATAAGTGCTTTAAATCCACTTTTAAAAGTATACCTCAAAAATCAAAATATCAAAAAATAAATTGGCCGATAGGTTTGGCTTTAATTTTTGTCTGCTTTTATGATTTGATATGGATGTTATAATTTTAAAAGTTGAGCCAAATTCACCAATAGATTTTTGAGATTTGCAAATACTCAATAATTTTCAGCGTGTTATCTTTTATTAAAAGAACTATTTGGTTCAGTATCATATAAATTGATATTTACTTTCTATTTGAACCTTCATTTAGCTAATGATTTAATAATAAGATTTCATCTAGTCCTTATAAGAGAATTTTGAATTTGTTATAATAAAAAAACAAACAGATATAGCTTACACTTCTATAATAAAAGTACCTTTTATAGAAATCAGTATGAAATGTGTTTTGGCTTATTGGAAGCATATCAGACATAATCGCCATAATCAAAAAAATCTATAATACCCAATAAGTAATAAATTTGTCGATATAGATTTTCCATAAAATTAGTTTTTAGTCTGATCTTAAAATAAATTTAATTTTTTATAAAAAAAATCACATTTAAAAGTACCTTTTTAGTAGCTCGAAATCCTGTTGGTGGATTTCGGGCGTACTTCAAAATTAGCTTTTCTTCTACATATGCAAGCTATATTTTAAATATGGAGCAAATCGGATCGGCGAAAGGAGTTTAGTTACCTTTAATTGACATCAATTTCATTCGCTCTTTTCTTCAGTTAATGATAAGAAGCAAAATCAATTGGATAATGAAATGAATTAGTCTCATGAGAATTGATTTAATTCCAAGTTAATTGGATTGTGGGAACAACTCAAATTTTAGTGTAGTGCCTTTATTCGACTTTGGTTGTGTTTGGAGAATGTGCATAATATGAGATTAAAAAAAAGAAAAAGCCTTAATCTGAATAATGAAACTGAATTTCAATCAAAATTGTCACTTTTAAATCAAAATTAATAATGTTTTTATTGTTTAATAAGAATGGCATCAAAAATAATTAAATACTAATTGAAAAATTGAATACATTCACAATAAAAAATGACAAGCACCATATTTTATTGAATTCCTGTAGATTGTTATGTATTAGTATAAGTGATTTTTTGTCAATTTTTCTTTACATAATAATTCAATTGGATGTCTCGCTCGGACTTCATATTAAGTTCTATGCTTGAGTTTTTGGCGTCCGATTCATGGTGGAGTAACATACTCGATTTCATGTTATCAAAATGCGAACCATTTCAAAAACATGATACGATTTCCATCAAAGAGTTTATTGTTTATCAAGAATATTTAAGTTTCTTGGAACGACTATTATATAATGATTTTTGCAATCAGTTCTCTCTAGAACCCAGAGAATTAGAAGAAACAATCGCTAATGAACTCTTATCATCGAACAAAATGGCTTTACAGATTCAAGAACAACTTCTTAGAAGTACAGACTTCATCACATTCAGAGAAGATATGATTGCTCATAATGAAAGAATTGAGCAAGAAGTAAACTCCATAATGAACGTACCAAACCTACCAATAGCTGAACCAGAATCAATACCTATTCACGAACCTGAGGTTCCTAATTCAAAACTCCCTTCTTTAAACTTAATCCCTTCACCTCGTGGCCAGCGTTTCGTAGTTAATCCAAATATAATGCCAAAACCTTCACCTAGGAGGAAACTAATGATTAATCCTGAAATGAGAAATATTTCTCAGCTTCCAATGTTACTGAGTAAAAATAAGGAATACACACAGGTTTTGAAAAGCCCAATTCCTCTTATAAAACTCCTAAAACCATTAGCTGTCAAATTGCCTCCTTTAAGTCGAAGTCCAAGATATTAATGTTCGTATTCCCTTATATATTAGTTATTTGTTATTATGTTAAATATTATTTTACTATCAAAATGAATCTTCAGATTGCATAAAAACAAATTCATATGCTACATAAATGAGAATATAACTCTGCAATTCTCATCGTTTGGAAATTGTTGATCAAATCAAAAGAATAGTCATCAATGGTAATACACTAAGAATGTAAAACATAGATATGATATTCCAAGTATATTACATTACTCAATTTTTCTAAATTGAGGTTCTTTGTTTACCAATTTTGAGTAAATAGAGAGTTCAAATTGTAAACAGTAATTAGGTTATGTTAAAAACACTTGTCCATTCGTCATTTTAGGTATTTTATGTTGCTTCAATGAATAACAAATATAATTCTTAGAATGAAGCAATAAAGCCGATGATTGAATAGATTTTTACTATTACCAATATGACTAAATTTTCTCAGCAAAGTATGAGATAATCCTATCAAAGTTTGTGTTGTAAACAGAAATTCATCAAAAGTGACACCTCAGAAAAGCTAAAATATTGAATTTTTGGAACTTTTGATAGAGCACGTTTTTAAATATTAATTAAAGTAAATGTATATTTTGTAAAGATTCTTTTTAATAAAAAAATAAAATTTTGAAGAAGAACACAAAATCTTCTGAAAAATAATATCACATAAACTCATATTATTTTCTAATATATAACTATTTTATATAAAAATCAAATTCAATGATCTTAAAAGCGAATGATAAACCTCAAAATTTACGAATATAATGAGTGGGAATATAATGCTTATCTATCATAAAACCATATGAAATATCAATTTTTGCTTTACGCCTAATTTTTGACGACAATTAGCAAAAAATGTTAAATGTTAACACTCAGTCCATTTGAATATGAAAAATAAAATTGACTTTGATTAAATGTTTTTATTTATCATGCAATTCTTCTTGCGACCAAAGATTTGAATAAAAGTTCAAAAAATAAGATAGCTTAAAAAATAATATACGGTAGTGTTTACTAATAGATGAATAGTATATAAATTCTATTAAAATGGATTTGATCCAAAAAAATATAAAACCAAAAATAATTGTTATAATTTAGAGTGCGGGACAAATTTGCCAGGTGTCACTTTTTCAATAACCTTAAATTACGCTTTTCTAATTTTTAAAATAACCTTAAAACATATTTGAAGAAATTATGTCTATGATATATGTTTTATGCTAGAATCTTGGAGTTTTCATGCACTACACAAGAGCTCCAAGGTTCCAAGAGTGAATGCTCAATAGCAATTATAGAGATGTACCTTTTCAAAATGACTTTTACTGATTAAATTTAATCAATAGAAGACATTTTGAAAAGGTACCTCTACAATTAGATATACAAGAGATTCAAAGCTTCATTTCAGATAGATTTGAAACTTTGAAACTCTTGGTAGATTTTGAGTGAATGCTGACAATCATCTTTGAGAAGGTTTTCTTAAAGAAAACCTTCTCAAAGAGGTTTCTCAGGAGCCCTGAGGCTCCCTTTCGTAATGATTGGGAGCCTTGGGGCTCCTGAGACGAAGAATGGCTTCGCCGAATCTTTGATCAGCAGAGGCCAAATGAAAAGGCCTCTGCTGATGGATTCTCAGGAGCCCTGAGGCTCCCTTTCGTAATGATTGGGAGCCTTGGGGCTCCTGCAGCAGAGTATCGCTCCGCTCCATTAAATTTTTTAAAAAAAGTGCCGTGTGGCAAATTTGTCCTGTTCCCCATCTTTATTATTTTTTTTATTCCTTTGAAAAGTGACATTGGATAGTTTGTCCCTTTCTCTATAATTTAAATGAAGAAGTAATTTAAAACGATTTTATTTATGATCAAATTTTATATACTTTTATGGATCAAATCCATTTTAATAGAATTTATATACTATTCATCTATTAGTAAACACTACCGTATATTATTTTTTAAGCTATCTTATTTTTTGAACTTTTATTCAAATCTTTGGTCGCAAGAAGAATTGCATGATAAATAAAAACATTTAATCAAAGTCAATTTTATTTTTCATATTCAAATGGACTGAGTGTTAACATTTAACATTTTTTGCTAATTGTCGTCAAAAATTAGGCGTAAAGCAAAAATTGATATTTCATATGGTTTTATGATAGATAAGCATTATATTCCCACTCATTATATTCGTAAATTTTGAGGTTTATCATTCGCTTTTAAGATCATTGAATTTGATTTTTATATAAAATAGTTATATATTAGAAAATAATATGAGTTTATGTGATATTATTTTTCAGAAGATTTCATTCTATATGCCTATGAAAAGTACTCTCAAAACTAACTTTTTCCTAATTATAATTAAATCTAGAATATTGTATTATGCTTAGTATTATTTCATTTTTCTCATTCAATTTAGAATTTACAAATGTCAAAAAATTGAGAGCTGTTACTTTTGATGAATTTCTGTTTATTACATGCATCTTACATTTAATATAAAATTAAGCCAAATTTCTAAAATCTTTTATTATATAGCATTTTGATTTAAATATTATACTCACTCGATTGCAATTTGATAGCAAATGCAATATTATGATTCAGAGCCTTCAATGATAGTTGAAATTTGGTGATTAACATAAGTCTCTGTATTTTTTACGAAATACTGCGTATGATAAATTATATTATCATTTTTATGGACTCGTTTGAGAAATACTTTTAATTGAAATGATTACAATTTCTTCTCAACTAAAATCTTGACATTGAAATTTTGTTTGGGAAAGTTTAGATCTATTACATGTAAAGAAATTGTTTTTCCTGATTTTTAAAACATCGTTTCTTTCTCAAAATTGAGAGAAATTGTTCAATGATAGGAGATTTTTATGAAATAATGCTTTAAATCATTGAACGTTCAACATGTTCACAAGTTGTGAGGTGAGTTAAAACTATGAATTGTAATTTTCATAATACCGAATTTTAAATTGTGATGAAAAGTGACTACACAGTAAAGAAAAGAAATGCAATCTGCTGCCGATTTTATAACTTCTCTTCGTTCATGTACACAGCAAGAAGAGGAGCGCTGTATTATTGCAGATGAAATTTCGTACATCAGAACACACGTAAAATCTAATTCCAACGAAAAAGTTCCTGATACAGTTTTGCAATTAATCTATTTGTCTCTGATAGGAGAGAAAACGGACTGGGCTCAGTTATATGTAATGAGAATACTCGCTAATGATACACCGAAATTGAAACTTTACGGTTATCTTGCTGCAGGAATTATCGTTGATCAAACATCTGAGATAGCTATGATGATCACTCAGTCTGTTTTGAAAGATTTATGTCATAAATCTCCCTTGATTCAAGTTTTGGCCCTTACACTCATCGCCAACATGTCCGTTGTTGAAATGTGTCGAAACTTAGCTACCAAGGTCCATGAACTGCTCAGGAGTCCAAATATACGTGTCATCAAGTGCGCTGCCGCTGCAGCAAGTCGCATAGTCTCTTTGGTTCCCGAAACAGCGACTATTTTTGCTGATTCGCTCAATGACTTGTTCTGCCAAAAGGAGCATTGCATCATCCTTGCAGCTATCAAGCTTGCCATCCAGATTCTCAACTACGTTCCAAAAACAGAAAAAATCTGGAGCGGACTCGAAACAACACTAATCCATCTTCTCAAGCATCTAGCAACTGCAAGATATCAATCGAATTACACCTTGAACGGATACGATGATCCAATTCTTCAGTGCTACTTGCTCCAACTAATCGCAAAACTGGAGCTCAAATCTTCAAAGCTGGATGACCTCCTTTTGCAGATAGTTACAGGCATTGATGCGAAAAAGATGTCAGGCAGAGCAATTCTCGCTGAAGCGATTTCGACCATCGGAATTTGTTCGACGAACAAATCGCTCCGATCGATGGGAATCAATCAGGTGGGTAAGTTATTGAACAGTAGCATATTAGAAGCCAATTATACAGCTTTGTCGGTTTTCAGCAATATTTTATACAAAAATAACAAGATAATCGACAGAAGCTCAAGCGAAACTCAGGCTCTGAGCAGATACAAAGAAGTTGTTGTTAAATTCATCAGCCACAAAGACCATTCCCTCAGAAGAAGAGCTCTTAAAGTTTTATCTGCTTTGATTGATGATTCAAACATCGAGGCGCTTATTCCCCTTATATTGGACCATCTACAACTCGTTAATCCTGACTTCAGATCCGAAGTTATTTTCGATTTATTCAACTCTATACAAAGATTCGCCCCAACGAACTTTTGGAACTTCGATACTGTTGTTGGAATATTCATTACAAACGGTGGATACATCTCGTATGAAATTGTAGAGCAATTCTGCAAATTAATCTCTAAAAACAACGATTTACAAGATTACGCCATCGTTAAACTGGATGAATTACTCGATTCCAACGCTACCAATCAGACGTTTGTCCAAGTCACCGCCTGGGTTCTCGGTGAATTTGCAACAGATTTCTCAAACGCCCTCGTTGATCGGCTTCTCACCATTGCATCACTGCCGCAGACAACTAACGAGACAGTCGACTACATCTTAGTTGCGATTACGAAACTCGCTTTCAGAGGGAACTTCCCCGATTACGCAATTTCAAAGCTTTACAAATATCTATCGTCCGAAGATTTACAACTTCAACAATGTGCCGGGGAGATGATACAGATTCTCTCACGGCCGGAGCTTGCTGAGTTCTTGTTTGCACCAGAAGAGGTTGAGCAGGTCGAAATGGAAGGAGTTTCCATGAATTCTGTTGGAATGTACTCATTACTTTCAGCATCTGCTTCTCTTACAAACTCTCCGCTTGTAAGAAACAAGCCAATATTCTCAGCAAACATTCCAGTCTTTATTCCTCCAAAAGGCTCTGTTGAAGCTGTCAGAAACCAAGATTTTGCAATATACTTCGAAATCTCAAGAAATGCATCGAATCCGAAACAGGTTGCAATCAGATCGTCTTCTTTCAATCTGACTTCAAAAGTTCTCTACAAATTTACAACTCAATTCGGAATTCCAACCGGTTGGATCATGATCGCAAAGGAACCATCAGCTGTTAACTTGCAAACTGATGGAACACCAATACAGCAGGTTATAATGCTCGAAAATAGAGGAGATAACCAGTTGTCGATGAAAGTCCATACAACATACGTCTATGAGGGCCAAGACATATCATCAATGGACGTTGTCAAATGTCGCCTTTAATTGTATATATATTTTGTTTGATGTGAATAAAATAAATTGATATTTTAAAGTTAGATTATTTCAAAAGCAAACATTATATCCTAATAAGATATGTTTAGTTTGTAATTTAAAATTTCATTATCAAACTTATTTTCGAAAAATTAAAGGAAAACAGAGCTTGAAAGTAATTAATCAGAAGTATTAAATTAATTCTAAGCATTTGGTTACTGAAGAAGTCAGGATAATGAGGAATTGAGATCATCGAATTACGAATTTTGAAATTAAAATTGATTGCTATGAATATAAATCCCCTTTGAAATATTTTGTTCATACGGATTTGTAATAAAATGATGCTTTTATTGAAAATAAAAAATTTGATCAAGAAAGGATAGAAGACAAGCAAGGATAACAAGAGGTGTGACTACCTGAGCAGAATGATACCTAATTTTAAAAGATTATTTTTCCAAAATATTTTGATTTTTTGAAAAATGAAATTAAACCCTTAGATTTGAATTGTGATAATTTGAAAATCAAATATTTTTTAGAAAATTTTTAATTTTATTTTCTTAATTTTGAAATAAATAAAAGATAAAATAAAATTATAAATCTAAAAATATATTATATTTTATGGAAAAATTACAGACAACATAAAATTTTTCGATAATGGTAATGATATAACTTATTCAAAGAAATATTACCATATTATAATAGTACATTATTATGATAATAAAGTTTGTGTCATTGGAATAAATTTATGAGAGTAACAAATGGAATTATTGTTATAGAGAAGAATGAAAATGAAAAACAAAATGTGTATATTTTTTATTAAAAGCACACTATTAAGAAATTTAATGTAAAGCACTGCTAGTGTAGTGGTTATCATGAGAGCCTTCCAAGCTTTTGATCCGGGTTCGATTCCCGGGCAGTGCAATCCTTTTTTTAATTTTTCCAACAAACAGATATCAAAAGCTGTGGCAAAATATTATTTCAAAGGTATTTTCACAGCTAAATAGAATTCTCATTATAATGTCCATCAAAAATCTAAATAATAATCAAAAATCATTTATCGTTCTTCTAAAACTCGTGACATAGGACAATTTGTCATGCCTCATTTAACAGTGCTCCAGTAGTAAATTCCAATTGCATCAATATTCTTCGGATTTATTCGAATTTGCAATAAAAATGTTTGATCGAATTGGCGTGAAAAAGATGAAAAAAGAAAAAATTAATGTAATTATATATCATGTTAAATAATCTTTAATTTGTACATAATATTTTTGCATTCAAACATCAATAAACCAATCTTCGAATTTTGTTTTATCTAATGGGAATAAATCCATTATTGTATCATCAGTTTTAAATGATTCTAAGTTAATCATTTTAACTTCCGGTACGACTTCAGGGGCAGGTGTTTCTTGTTTTGTCTGTTGTTTCAATTGTTTCCTTTGAAGTCGTTGTTCACGTCTTTGTCTAAGTTTAAACCTATTTCTGATACAGTTTCCAGATCTGTTATGAAAGTATTGTGCAATCTTATGCCATCTAGAACCAATATCGTTATAAAGTTCATCAAGAAGCTTATCTTCTTCGGCGGTCCATGGCTGGTTACTAAGCTCAGGAGCTAGATAATTTACCCAGCGTTCTCTGCATTGTCGGGCTGTTCGCTTCTTCATGTGAGATGCTACAATTTCCCAATCACTAGTACCATAATGCTCGATAATTTCATTAAGCTCATCATCTTCCTCTGGTGTGAACTTGTTTTTAGGAACATAGCCTGGCGAACCTTTCTTTGGCATTTGTGAATAATGATTTTTTTGAATCAAACCGGCTTTTATGTCTGCATTGAAAGTTACCTAAATATTCTCAGTCATTTTCAAAAAAAGTTAATCAGTTGGGTATGATGATGGTAACAATGCAAATTTGAAAAAAATTGAATACAAGCATTAATGTTCACAAAAGTCAAATGTTTTGAGGAGACTTTGTAAACTTTCTTTTGAATAAATTGAAATATCTCCCTAAAAGAGTAGCCAAATTTTGGTAAATCAATCAGTCATTTCATTAGCAATGAAATATACGATCGCTAAGAAGGGAAAACATTTTGATATTATCAATAAAAAAATGATTGCAAATGATTATAAATGTACAATATACTTAAATGTATTCTTTTATGAATATTTTCGACCGTATTTTATAAAAAATACTTATTAAATAATAAAATTGTGCATTACAATAAAATTCATTTTTGAAAGAATTAGTTTTTTTTGAATTGAAGAATTTTTTGAATATTAATTATTGTGATAACTACGTTAGAAATTTTATTATCCGTTAAATAAGTCGATAATTTTAATAACTAAGCCATGATTATTAACAATCATAATTTGAAAAGTGAAGTCTCATCACACTTTTCAATGCTCGATTTTTAAAAACTGTTTAAAAATGGAGCTTATATTGAAATAGTGTAGAGACTAAAAATTACCACAGACTATTTCAGAGGATTGAGTGGCAACTCAATCCTCTGAAAAGTCTGAGGTAATTTGCAAAATTCATTTTATACAATATTTTTTAAGATATTTTTTAATAATTAAACAGCAATTATTATTAGAATAACTGTACCTAATAAAATCAAATGATAGCTATTTCACATATTTGCTTTACAAAAAATTTAGATACCAATAACGTGCTTTAACTCACTTCCAAATTCTAAACATTAATTACACTCTTATTGCTCTATATATTTATTCTCAATGCTTTCTTTTCAATTATACGGTTATTATCCTTTTCAATTCTCCTTTCAAATTCTTCTATTAAATTTCCTTATTCAATGAACATATTCAAAAGTAAATCTAATGTTTTATGATCTATATCTTTCATATAACTTTTTTAATCAATTATTTAAATTTTTTATTTATTATTAAGGCTAAACTATCAAATGATTAATTTTAACTCTAATTTTTATTTAATTATATTTTTATCCAATCTTTAAATCTATTTTTTTTCTCTTAAAAAAAATAAAATAAAAAATATAAAAAAATAAGAAAAGTATTAATATATTCATTTCCTTATTTTATTCTCTATATTCTCTCATTGTTTTCTTCTTTATAAAACATCAATCAATTCGACTGCAATATTAATATCATTAGCATAGGGCATTGCACGTTTTATCTTCTGGTACGTATATCCCATGCCCTTTAATTGTTTGTACATCTTCTTCTTTTCAGGTTGAAGAGTATTTAAATATTCTTCTTCTTCATTCAAACATTGTTGAGTGTTATCAATCATGTAACAGACTAAATACTGGCAAATTATATTGGCCAATGGATCATTATCGCTTAGAATTTTGCCATCTTTGATTAGCACTAGATTATCTTTGATAAAATCAGGATACTTCTGTTTTATTTGATTACATACATCGCCTATTGTTGAATCTGCTCTACAACTAATTTTGAAAAAACCAATTTGATGATGGAGAATTTCGATTTCGGTATATCTATTTGATCTAACGCTTTCAGATCGTCTGCTTCTATGATGAGTGTCAAGAAATTCATTGCCAAACCAATTCATTGACAAACAAAAATCGAGATTTAGAAAAAATAAAAAAATTGCCAACAAGAAAATATAAAAATTAATTATTATGCTCTATTGCTTTTATTTTCTTAACAAAACAAACAAAATCGTATTTTAAAAGGGAAGCTTTGATAAATCATTTTGAATATCTCTCTCCGTACATTGAAAGAATGCAAGTATTTCTTCAAATGATCTAGGGTTATTCCTTTTTCCATGCGAAGTCTTCTTCTGTACATTATTATTCACTCTAGGAGGAGACGGAACAAGGGTCAAAGGCAATATCTTCGGAGGAGACCTTTGAGTTGGAGGTTTAAAAGATTTAATTGATTTTTGTTTCGGAACTGCTATTTTATTAGATTCATTAGAATTTTGAATTGAATTCGGTGTAGTATTAATTTCTTGATCAGAATCTATCTGGATCAAGTAGTTTTCAACCTTAAAAGGGGTTCCATCTAATAAAATTTCTCCATCGAATTGTGATGAGAAAACAACCGAACGATTTATATCTAACAATTTGATCCATTGCGTATCTGCAACATCCATAAAGCCATCCTGCCACTTCTTATCTCTCTGTGTAAGTCTTGTTGTGAATAAAACTTTGAATCTTCGCATTTTATTTCGAGGAACTTCACCGGGGAAGTAAATTAGAAATGGTCAAAAATATCACCAATGCAATTAGTGAGGATAATGCGCTAATAACCATAAAGTTTTCTATGATATTTGTCATATAATCGTAAAATTGCTATTTAATAAAAGGAAATGTGGAATTATCTCATATTGCCTGATATATATCTTAGGCAACACATATCTATCAAATACTTGAAAGACAATCAATTCGAATTTTGAATGCATAAATAAATAAAGCGCGTAATAAAAGCGTTTAATATACAAACAAACAGAAATATATTATTGTAATAACAATTTTGCGACAGTTGTTCTCTTTTGCAAAACGCTTCTGAGAACATATAAACATTGAGAGCTCCGAGTACATAGATCAGACGATTTCGGAACATTTTTGAGAATAGAAATAACAGTTTTCGGAAGTAAATCAGCAGCAATTAAGAAATTGTTCATCATTTTGAACGAAATCGGGACATAATTCGGAACAGCGAAGAAACCATCTGAATTTACTTGGGACGGGATATTAACTTCTATAAATCTTGCCAGAAGCTTCATCAAGTCAGCATAAACAATCGGGTTTGACATTTTCAAAATTTGGATCAAAACTAAATCATTTTTAGCAATAAATTTTTCAAATCTATCTATATCACGAACAGTAACAGCTTTTAGAACTTTATAAGCAGCATGAGCAACTCTATAATCCGAATGAGAAATGAATGAGATAAAAACCATTGCGTAGTCATCACATGTGGCATCAATCTAGAATATCTTAGCAACCATATCTATTTTCAACCGAATGCAGTCAGGATCTTTGTTTTTGTCAATTGATGCAACGAGATTTGCAAAAAATGGGGATAATACATGTTCCAACGACTCACATGGCTTTTGAAAATTCTTGTAATTCAATCTAATTATAAATAAAACCGTTTCCTTCAAAAAAGAAATGGAACTTTTTGTATCTTTCGTCAAACACTCAGCGGCAACGAGTTGGAACCATCTCAAGTTAGATATAAATGTTGATGGAACATATGGATATTGCAACGAGTACAAAAAAGAGAAAATTTTGTTTTCGTAATTAAAATTTTTGAAATTAAAGGATTTGCTCATAAACATCGCATTTCCTATATTCGGATATTGCTGGATACAAATTCCTAGCTTCCTTGTTAGTATGAAATTCGAAAGAAAGTAGAAATCCGTGAAAATTGATTTCGAAATCGTTTCAAAGAAAGGAGATTCATTGGAATAAAGAGATCCAACGAGGATATCAATCACTGTGAGTGGGACCATCGGAAATTCAACAATCATGTCAATAATTGTCTCTTTAAACTGATTTATGTAATTTGTCATGGAAGAAATCAAAGATTTGTGGTCTTTCGTTACTATTGATAAGAGTTTCTTACAAAATGGAAGGTTCTTGCAAATTCTTTCGATTCCGGAAAAAATTAATTCTCTCTTCGAAAATTGCCACAATTTTTCATAAGTTTCCCTGTTTTCTATAACGATACTTAGCTCTGTAAGGAAGTCATCGATGTGTGGATGGTAGGGATGAGGAGTAGATGGAGAAAATCTCCAAATTAAAATTGAAAACCTAAAAAACTGAAGAACATTCAATTTCAAGAAAAAACCGACCGGAATAATCTTCTTTGACGAAGCGTTGATTATGGAAATCATATTGTTATCTGAAATTGAAAATGGATCTTGATTTAAAAAATTTAAAAGGTTTTCTATGGTTATTTGCTTTATATCTTTTCGCGATGCATCGTATATAACAGGCTGCGTTCGATATAATGGCTTTGAAGGACCAAACAAAACTAATTCTTCGATAATGTTGTTTGGAAATGAACTTTGATTTAGTTTTCGCTTTCTACTATTGCTTTCACTGCAATCATCCATTAGCTCTTCGTATAAGTACCATTTCTTGATTGTTTCCTTAGAATTTTGAATTCTTTTGTAAAAATCGTTTTCTATTATGATTGGCTGAGTTTGTTCTTTTGAGAACTTCGGCATTTCTTTTGTTGGCATTGTTTCTAGCTTTAACAAAGAAGAGAATTCTTGTGGTTTAAAAGTTTGCAATCTGATCTCTTCTGTATCAGTTCCGGAACTTCTTCGATGTTTTAGATAAAATTTCTGGTTGATTTGAAGTGACTTCTGAAATTGTAGTTCAAAATTTGAATTTTCTTTGTCAAACCATTGTTTTGATTCTTTAACATAGTCATCGTATGTGTCAAATTCATCTGGTAGTGGCATACGCGAATAGGTAAATACAGGCCATGGATTTTCATTGAAAATTAATTCGGAATCTTTATATTCTTCATTGTTTTTTATAACCAAATCCTGTTCATTTAAATGCCTGACGTATATTTTAGAAAATATTCGACGATTGGATCTAACAGGTCTTCTGAAAAAAGCAGAATAAAATTCCGAAGAAAAATCTTGATCTAAAGGCTGAACTCTTTGTTTCTATTTAACAATACTATCAATGTATTCCTTTTCCGAATGAAAATCATTCGGATTAGGAAAACACAGTTCGTTCATTTTTTTGAAATCAAAATTCAATAATTTACAAATCGCCTGAATTGAAAATCTGTAAGTTTTAATGTACATCAATAGCTAGTGCGAAATCTCGATTTCTGATTTACACAGCAAAAAGTGACAAAATAGCATTTCACTCTTATTAGATAAATTTTTCATTTCGAACTATATTTTGCTTTTTTAAAATATTGTAATTAAAATTTTGATAAAATCTGACATTTATTTCTGAAAACAATAAATTTGCAAAGGAAATTTATTTCTTCCTTCTCGGAGCGAAAGGATCATTAATAACTTTCTTTTGAGGTTGCTCTGGTTGTTGTGGCTGTTGCTGCTGCTGTTTCTTCTTGTCTTCGATCGTCGCCTGCTTCAAATCGACCTTCTGCATTCCGGCGAATGGATCCTTTGGCTGGCCAGCGCTGGACTGGCTGCCGAATGGGTCGAATCCGCCGCCTGCGTTGTTCGAAGATGATCCAAATGGATCTGATGAGTTCTGTGGCTGTTTGGCTGAGGAACCAAACGGATCGTTTCCAAATGGATCTGATGAGTTCTGTGGTTTGTTTGACGGAGCAGCAAATGGATCACTACTGTTGTTTGGCTGATTTCCTGATTTCTGTGAGTTATTCGAAGGATTGCCAAATGGATCATTTGATGGTCCTCCAAATGGATCTGATGAGTTCTGTGGCTTGCTGTTGCCAAATGGATCATTTCCGTTACCGAATGGATCTGATGAGCCCTGTGATTTGTTATTTGAAGGTGGAGCTGCGAATGGATCATTTCCAAATGGGTCGGATGAATTCTGTGGTTTACCTGATGGAGCTCCAAATGGATCTGAAGAGTTCTGTGGCTTATTATTAGAAGATGGGCCGCCAAATGGGTCATTTCCGTTTCCAAATGGGTCGGATGAATTCTTCTGTGCTGGTTTTGCAGCGAATGGGTCATCATTGCCATTTGAATTAGCAGATGGAGCGCCAAATGGGTCAGAAGAACCCTTTGGAGCTGGTTTGGCAGAGAATGGATCATCATCAGCCTTTGCGGCTGGCTTTGTTGGGGCTCCGAATGGATCATCGTTGTTGTTGTTTCCGAACGGATCAGCAGATTTCTGAGCCTTTGGTGCTCCAAACGGGTCAGAAGCATCATCCTTCTTCGCTGCAGCTGGGGCTCCGAACGGATCTGACGATTTCTGAGATTTCGGAGCTCCGAATGGATCCGACTCATCTTTCTGGGCCTTTGGAGCACCGAAAGGATCATCGTTGTTTCCAAATGGGTCGGCTGACTTCTTGTTGTCCTGTTTCGGAGTTCCAAACGGATCATCGTTATTTCCGAACGGATCTGACGATTTCGCTGCCTTTGGAGCACCGAATGGGTTATCGTTGTTTCCAAATGGGTCGGCTGACTTCTTGTTGTCCTGTTTCGGAGTTCCAAACGGATCATCGTTATTTCCGAACGGATCTGATGATTTCGCTGCCTTTGGAGCACCGAATGGGTCATCGTTATCCTTCTTCTCGGCTGGTTTTGCGGGTATTCCGAACGGGTCATCGTTGTTTCCGAACGGATCAGCAGATTTCTGAGCTTTTGGAGCTCCGAACGGGTCATCGCTCTTTGGCTTGGCATCAGCCTTCTTCGGAGCACCGAATGGGTTGTCGCTGTCTGCGAACGGGTCGTCGGACTTCTTAGAATTGTTTGATGGAACGGAAAACGGGTCATCTGAAGCAGCTGGGTTTCCGAACGGGTCTGCTGATTTATTTGCAGCAGGTTTTGCCGGCGCTCCGAACGGATCATCGTTTGCCGATGACTTATTTCCGAATGGATCTGAAGATTTCGTCGACATTCCAGCGAACGGGTCATCGTTATCCTTCTTTGATGGAGCAGATCCAGACGACATTCCAGCGAACGGGTCGTCGTCGTTCTTTGCTTTGGAGGCTTTCATTCCGCTGAAAGGATCATCGTTGTTCTTCTTTTGGCCGGCCACGGACATTCCTCCGAACGGGTCATCGTTCTTAGCGGGCGGTTTCTCATCGGCAAAAGCGAAAGGATCGTCAGATTTCTGCGGAGATCCGAAATCTTTGTTTCCATTTGGAAGGAGCTTCTGGAATCTCCTCTTTCCGACAACAAGCGACTGAAGGACCTCGATGGAAACGTCGGCGTCGCTGTTCTGAGACTGCACAATCTCCATTGCGCGGTGAACAAGAGCCATCTGGCACGTCCTTGCGATTTCGCCGGCGGAGAGGCCCTCTGTGCCCTGTTCGAGGTCTTCTGGAGTGGTCGCGGAGTGGAGAAGAGTGTTTTTGATGGAGCATCTGATGATTTCAACGCGGCCTTGGCGATCTGGCATTGGGAACTCAATGACTTTGTCCAAGCGACGGCTGCGCTTGAAATCTTTTGGTATTGAGTCGGCGGATTTCGCTGTTCCGATGAAAACAACGCGTGGATTGTCAATGCACCGATCGATAGCGGAAAGGAGGGCGTTGGAGAGATGGTTGTCGGTTGCTGTATCTGTAAGAGAGATGGGATCGCAAATCAAGTCAATGTCGTCGATGAATAAAATTGATGGAGCTTTCTCGTAAACTCTGTCAACGAAGCGTTTGAGAATAAATGCGGCATCGTTAGGAGATTTAGTAAGGAGGTCAATCGCTTTGATATATTCGAAATGGCAGGGAGTTTCATTTGAAATCGCTCTTGCAACGTAAGATTTGCCAGATCCGGACTGTCCTGTGATGAGGATACCGGAAGAAGGTCGAACACCAAAAGAACTAACTAATTTTGGTTGTAAAAGCGGAAACTCTATTAATTTGCGAATTTGATCGATTTGCTTGTGGAGACCACCAATAGAATCATAAGACACCGTAGAGAAGTTGATATTTTCGCGATGTATTGGTTGATTTCTGTATAAAATCACTTCTTTGTCTTGGATGATTACTTCTTCTTCTGGAGAGCAGTTTACAACTTTAAATTCGATAACACGGTTAAGCGCGTAGACAGGAATAATCTGATCCCTTCTTATCGGCATTCCGACAAAATCATAGTTTGAAGCGTAAAGGAGATCGATGATTGACCCATCTATTCCATCTATTGTCTCGGATACTGCAGAAATAATGACATCATCGGCTTTTGCAACTTTCTCAGCTGCTTCTACGACAACTGTTTGTCCTAAGAAGCAGTGAATGTTATTTCTTACAGCGCGTGGTATTTGGATGTTTGCGATTGGACATTCCTCCTTCGACGAATACAATTTGACGAGAATTGATTCTTTTGATTGAGTTTTTATTCGAACGACTTGTCCTTCGCGGAAAGATAGTTGTGCCATCTTTTCCGGTGACATAAATACATTAAATCCGTCTTTTTGACATTGATCAACAAAAAAGGCGGATGGCGCTTGCATCTTTTTTAAATTTTTTTTTACCTTGAAAAGTTGACGATAGTTGTTCTTCACAAAAATGTATAATCTGCCTTTTATTCAATGGATAATTAGTGTACATTATAAATATAATGATGTGATGTTGATTACAAAAAATGTTATTAAATTGAGGAATTTGGAGTTTAATAACTTTTGTAAGCCCATAATGATTAATCACACATGCTACACTCAACTCATTAAAGCTATAGATATCATTACTCAACTGTGTTTATTATTGTTTTATCTCGAAGGATTGATTCTTATATGAAACAACTCATCGACATATTTCATTTCGCTTTATACACATGTGCTAAAAACAGATAGTTATGTTCTCTAATGAGTTTTGCTTAGCGTAATTAATTATTCATATATGATTTTGTGAGTGAAATATTCTTGATCACATATCTGAGATGTGCATATCATATAGCTATATGGGGTGATGCAAATGCATGACGGTAAATCATATGATCAGTGGTTGTTTATGCAGTCACTTTTCAACTAAAAGATCAGACTGTAGTTTGATTAATTATGGCATCATCAATCATTAGTCATGAAGAAAACGTAATTCGTTCTTTTTCGATATTAAAACGTGACATTATAAAAAAAAATTAATTATAAAAAAAAATTACAATGGGGGACGAAAGAGCTATTCTATCTAGGTTTCATCAGATTTTAACTTTCTTCACGGCAAAGATAGAAACTCTTAGTCTCATTGTCACAAATATTGGGGAATATTTTAAAGGATTATTTTCGTTTACACTAGATGACGATCTTCGCGACATCTCCGACTCCGATGAGGATTTTATGGAAAAATCTCGAAAGTTCTTAGATCGGTATAGTGTCAAAGAGCTGACTGAAATAATTAATCAAACAATTTTACCCGAAAAAGTTAAAAAATTAGGAATAGACGACTGGTATGTTGAATTTAATCTTCAAGATCCAGTGACTCATTATTTATATGTTCGCACACATCAATGTAAAGAAGATGAAAAATTTATTGCCTTCATGGCAGCATCTTTGAATCAAAGGGATGGCAAGTATGACTTATTCCACGTTCGATGGTTCGCATTACAAAACCCATTAGGCGAATTTACGAACGCAAGACCACGATTACCTGGCCAGAAGTACCCAGGCACGGGATTTGGCAGAGACTGTGTTCGTCTTACTTACTACTTAGCGAGGAAGGCCGGTCGAGACGGAATTCTCAATTCTCCAGAACATTTTCACAACGCTTACATGTACGACTTCTGTTATTTCGTAGATCCCCAGCAGGAGGGCTGGTTCAGAAAGCTGAAGAAGGATCTGAGAAAGGATATAAAGAAAAAGGGCTTGGCACTGGTAAGCTGGGCAATTTATCTCGGCTGCCTCAGGGAAAAGGGGAACCCTGTAAAGTGGGAAATGAAAGAACAGGCTATGCCGATTTCTCTTAGATATTACGCTGTATTTTTCCTCCCTAGATATAACTACATAATGGAAAAGGCTAAATACGAAAGTGGCCCGTTTACAATCGATTGGGAATTGGCTGAGAAACAATGCTTAGACAAAATACTATTTAACAACCCTAATTAAGTTTTATTTTTTATTGTTTATTATTATTTTTGTTTTGTGTTCATATTATGTATTGCTGTAAATATATAGTGTTTTATTCTGTCTACAAATTATACCGATTTAAAAGGAAAATTTAATATTTCCAAAATAATTGAACTAAATAAAGGTTTCACAACTCAGTTCTTAATTAAAAACAATTGATTTCTATGTAACCTACAAATATAATCAAAATTTTAATATTATCAAAAAAATAATAGAGAATTTTAAATGTAATCAAATAAAATTGTTGGAAAATCGTCATAATTTGTGACGGTATGAGTTAAATAAACAGCAGCTGTCGGAATATAAACTAATAAGAAAGGAATTGTCAGTAACCTCGACATTCTTGTAGTAAATAACCTATCTATTGCAGGGATAACGGCCATAGTTTCAAATGGAAGCATGAATCGCATTGCATATTGATTCAACAAGAAAAATGAATTTATAAACCAAATCAACGCAGATAAGAATAAAGGGAATGATCTTTCATATAAACATATAATAGAGAATAAGTTAATTGCATAAAAACAAAAATTTCCATGAATAAGCCTCAATTTGTCAATTGAAACAAAATTCTTGAATAACTCATGCAAAGGATAATCTTGCACCATTAAATCAATAGGTTTGTTCAAACATAAATGCCTTACAAAATTTCGATCATAAATTCCATAATAAAACAATGAGAAAATACCTACAACAGATCCAAACAGATAAATAAACATTGGTAAGCGTCTCCCTTTGATTATATATAAAATATTGAAAATAAAGATTAAAATGAGTGATTCAGCTCTACAATATGTGGATATTGCAATTGTAACAAAATTTAATAGGTAATTTCCATTTCTGTAGAAAATAAATGATAATAAAACGAAGCAGAAGAAAAGATTATCTCCACATGCGGATAGTTTAAACAATGTACCGAAAAATGGCGCAAAGCAGTATAATATTGTTGAAAATAATGGATTTTGAACTAAATTGTAAATTTTAAGAAATCTGTTGAACAAATATATAGAGATTAATGCTACCGTAATGCTACTTGCAATAATGACTGTTTGATAATTGCTTCCTAATAACTTAATAAAGATCATATCTAAATAACTTTGTAATTTCAATGACGGAAGTTTGTTTCTTATCTCTGAATGCTCTTTGTTCGTAATTTCTAGGTAGGCTGATGCATAATAATTGAGTGAATCTTGATAAATAATGAAATAATTATATTTGCATGTTTTTTTGCAGTAATAATAGAATGAAAACGCAAAAACGAGGTATATTGCCCAACATATCAAGTCATGATAACATGGAAGCCAAAAAAATCTTGGTAATTTTTTACTTTCATATGATTTCATTTTTTTTAGATGTCAAAATCTAAAGGGAATTCAATAAATTAATAAAACATCTCTTCTGGAATAAAGAATAAAAAAAAAAAAAAAAAAAAAAAAGGTAGTGGGGCCTCCAGGCACTTCGTGCCCTCTAGCCCTGAAGATGTTTAGTATAACTTTGTCCGGACAAGTAAGGGTCTATCGTCGCTACAGGAAAAGTTACGGGCGTTCCAAGGAAGTATACTTTGAGAAGCCTTTTCCCCCTTATAGAATGAGATAGGACGGTTATTTTACAAAACTGACAACACTTTGACCGAGTAGTTTTTTGTGCTGAACAAAAAGTGTCATATAAACATCTGTCAAAAACCGCTTTTTTACTTCACTTAAAATGCCACGTAAGCTACGTAAGAATATACGTAAGAGGAAGGGAGCATTGAAACATCCAATAGTAAAACTGACACCACAACAACAGTTGCAACAACAAATGATGAATGACCCCACTATGTTGCAACAAATGTCAAGCAACCCTATGCTTTTAAACCGAGTTATTGGTGCACAGAGTGGAGGTTTAAGAGCGGCACTTTTAGCGAAAATGGCAGGCTATGGTGGAGCTGCAGACGGAACAGCTTATAACCCTCAAAGTCAAATGAATTTGAGTTCACTCAAAAATCAAATAACAGATGTCAAAAAGTCAAACATAGACATACAGAAACAAATAAGTGAAAACGAAAAGAAACTAGAATATGACAGACACACAAAGAAACTCAATGAGTTAAACGTAGAGAAAAAGAAGAAAGAAGAACAACTGAAAGAACTAAGTACAGAGGAATATGCAAAAAAAGTGTCAGAAAAAGCAGCAGAAGTAGCAAAAATGGAACAAGATGTTATAAATTTGAAAAACCATACTACTCAATATAAAGTACTGAAAGATGAAGAGATAAAACAAAAAGCCCTGAAGACATATATGGATAGCGATGAGTATAAAAAGAAGTTGAAGCAAATGTAAAGGCAGAAAAACTTTTACAGTTGCAAAACCAAACCGTACAGTATGAAAACTTAGCACAAGAAGTAAAAATAACGACGCAGCCATGCAAAAGGCAATGAAAAGCGCAGAATATATAAAAGCTAACAATGACTGGTTAGATGCCCAAGCCAACGCCAAAGCAGCCCAACTTATAGGGTCAATAAGGACAAAAATACAAGCGGATGAAGACAGTTCAAATGAAGCTTTAATGAATGCTGACTTTAAGAACGCCTTCGAAGCTCTTCATAGTAAGGTGAAACTAGTGAACGACTTCTCATCTGGAAAGAAACTGAAGTCTGAAGGTTTCGACAAAGAGTTAAGAGAAGTAGCACAAAATATGACGAAAATAACAGATGCAGCAACGAGACAGGCAGTTCAAAGTGCCTATGACGCCGTTAGAGCAACTGTTGTGGAAAGTCAAGAAAAAGAGTTACAACAGACCAAAACAGACCTAGTAAATGCTTTCTTAAAAACGAAAAGTCAGGTAGGACATTATGCTGCAGATGGAACATATGTGCCAGCTGGTGGAACTTATATACCAGCTGGTGGAACTTATATACTAGCTAGTGGAACTTATATACCACCAAACCCTCCAAGAGAAGCACCTGCACCAGGACTACCTAAAACATTTACATCGTCACATGGACACAGACACAGGCATGCACCAAAACCAACACAACAACCAACACAACAACCAACAGTTCAAAACACTGCACCACAACCAACAGTTCAAAACACTGCACCACAACCAACAGTTCAAAACACTGCACCACAACCAACAGTTCAAAACACTACACCACAACCAACAGTTCAAAACACTGCACCACAACAACCACAAACAGAGCAAGGACATAAAAGAAGTAGAGAACAAGGAAACCAAGAATTCTTAAAAATGCTTAAGGAAAATTATGGTTACCCAGATACTCTTGACTTTAGTGACAGATATAAAGAAGCTATTAGAAAGTTCAAGGAAGGAAATACTGACCCGAACCTATTTAGCTTTATGGTTCAGCACCAAATGGGATATAATTTCAAACCTGGAAAATACAAGCTCGCTAAGGGATATGATTTAATAGCATATCATCCAAATGACATGACTGAATTTACTCCGAGATATTTGGTGTCAGAGCTAAATGATAATTCAACTCTCTTCATGAAACGCGTAAAAAATAGAGACGGAACGAAAGAAGAAAGGTTTATGAGTCCGGATGACTTAGATAGGGAACTTTTTAAAAACGGTCTCGGAATATATGAAATGCCAGCAGATGAGGTACAAGAAACTCCACAGGAAGAAGTTCAGATACAACCAGACATGGAAGAAATAGTTCAGCAACAACAGCTAGAAGAGCCTGAAGGAAACGAACAAGTCCCTCCTTTGGAAACTAACTTCACAGAACTAGATGAAGATTTGGAAACAGCCGAAAAATCTTGACCCTCAACAAGTGTATGCAGGGAATATGGAATCTTTCCAAGAGTCTAAGAAAAATTCGGCTGACATAGTAGAAGAATATCGAAAAATGTTCGCCGACATACAAAAGACTCCAACATCAGATGAAAATATTCAGCATAGAATGGAAGAACTGAAAGAAAGTGTACGCAAATACAACAATCCTTTTTACTTACGACCATATAACGTTCAATCTTTGGCTGAACTCGGTGAAAATAAAAGGTTAAATTTCACCAAAACATATAGAAATGAAACATTGTTTAAAGTTCATTCAGAACCTAACCAATATGGAAACAAACCTACTTTTGTTTCTGCAGACTATGGAACTACAATGAGATGGGGTCATAAAGCTAATCCGGATAGGTGTTCATAAACTTACAACCACAATTCCAAGAAGTTGTAGACGCAATGGAAGTGAATGGTGAACCAGATATAGCTGGTATTTTCAGCGCGGCTTTAATGCCATTGAAAGATATGAAAGATGCAGATATTTTGGACCAGTATGAAATGAACATGGCTGATGGAAATATAACACCTGACGTTCTAGAACATTTATCTCAAAGAACTACACAGAACCATAGAGATGGTATATTTGGTGAAGAGTTTAGAAAGAAAGTTAGGGAGAGAGAAGGAAGAGAACCTATTGTACATGACCTTGCAAACGAAAGTTTGCAAAATGTCATAAAAACTTACTTTGCAGACAATGAACCGAGAATGGATGAATATTTAAGAAAACTCAAATGGACAGTACCAAATGAAATGTTAGTATTGAAAAACATGTTCCTTGACAAAATAAACCAACTACAGAAATAAATGACGCAAGACTGAAACATTGGGTAAAAGCTTTCCCATTCACAAAAGATATTATTGGTAACATGGAAAGAAAACCAGAATGGCTACAAAAACATATATTTGGAAACGAGCTTATTCCATATGGACAAGCTCTGTTTGAAGAGCTTGAACCGGAAACTCAGGAAAGAGTCATGCAAACAATACGCGAAGACTCAAATACAAACTATGACAAAATCTTTCTAGGATATAGGTTACCTGAGATGGGCGACCAGAGCCCAAAGGCAAAAAGGACATGGGAAATTTACAACATACTAGGTGAACATGAGGCAAAGATGCAACAACTTGAAGCAGAGGGCAAGTTACCAAAAGCGACACCAAAGAAGAAGAGTAGAACAAAGTGAAAGTAGTGAAGAAGTAACTTCATCTAGTGAAAGTAGTGGCAATGAAGGAAAAAGAAGAGTTAAAAACTCAGTCAGGAAGAAAGTAAAGCTTGGTCCGAGTGGGTTCTATTATGACACATAAATACAACTATTCTATATTTTTACCCATATGAAATGTACGCCGCTCAGAATATAACGCCAACAGTTTTGGATGCCATGAACGGAAATGTTTCCGAATGGTATAACGAATGCGACAATGCCATTAGAAGGTCAGAAATAGTTCCTGGAACTTACGAAATATACAACTGCTGTTTCTTATGGAAACGTAGGTGAGTTTGGAGAAGGTCTCTTCAACAACAGTAGATATTGTTACAGGGTTGTGTTCGACAAGTTTAACATTATACTTAAAGCTTGACAAATTCTTCTCCTGAGTTTGAAGTTTGTCTTTCACAGTTGTTGGTAGTCGTTTGAATATCTGCAACAGAACTTAAGTCTCTGCTAACTTCAGGATATGTTGGTTCTTTTACAGGAACATTGTTATACCATCTTCGTCCTCGTATGGTTTCCCCACTTCAACATCTCTGTCTTTGACATTGACAATAACACTTTGACTGTTTTGTTTGAGTTGGTGAATTTAACTTCAACATCTGCACCGCCATTAAACCTTTTGAAACACTTACGCTTCTATTTTTCGGAAAATGACATTTTACTTAGAATAAAAAGATGGACGTATTCGAGTATCTCTTCGAATTGAAGCAGAACAAAGTTTACACACACAAACAATACAAATACATTGACAGAATAGTTTCTTTATACAAACAATGGAAAATGTTATAGAATAGCAGTCTTTGCTGAACCAAAATATTTTCATAAAGCAAAGAAAAGTTGGTATAACTGAAATGGTGAAAGTTCTTGAAGCAGACAAAAATATAACAACAAAACTTACAGATATTTTCTAAAGGTAAGTTATAATACAATATTATGTCAAAACTGGCGTACTGTCAATATTTGACGGAGAGAAGTCAGTTCAAGAACAACTTACTGACCTGCTGCCAAAATCTGCTCGATGGAAGCTGTCGTTATGCAATCTGAGGAGCCCCAGCAGGTTTCATCGAACGAATCTTCAAAGAGCATCTTCCGTGAAAAGTGCTATTGGTTTTGTAAACTTCTTTGCTTTCAATTCATCTGGACCGTCTCTGTCACCAGTATATTGTATTTGAACTGTACCAACAGTTGAAATACCACCCATAAAGTCTTCTGAGTCAGCAAATGGAATGCCAAGCCAAAAAGTTTGAACGGTCTCCATTTGTATATTGAGTTTTTTGACCTCCTGTATGAGTCCATACTTTCACATATGGCATAATAGAACTTTGCATTTCAGGGTTAATGTTGTTGTGAAGTTGTTGTTAAAGTTCATAGCATCTAATGTCAAGTTGTAATGACCTCATATCCTCAACTGTAGAATATTCTTCTCTTGGATAATATTTGCCATCTATGTTTATATGATATTTAATACCGGGGTTGTAGAAACAAGAATAGTCATTTATAGTTCGTCTGAACAGTACAAACATAGTATCTGCATGTTTCATTGCAGTTGTTAAGGCAATATCTGTTCTTGCACCTGGGTCAGCACTTTGGTTTCCAACTTCACCTGCAAAGTCTTTGACAGATATTTGGTGTATAGGGAACATAAGTGGAACTGCAATATATTTGGCAGCTAAAGCATTTGAAATATCTGGGTCCAACAATATAGACTGCAAGTCTGCTTTCTATTCTCTTGCATTCAAATTTTTCGCATGTGAACTTAACTGGGTCCCAAGCAGTTCCAGCAGCATTGAAATAATAGTTTACTTCAGTGTTGAAGTTTGAGAAACCAAAGTCTAAGTCAACTTTGTCTTTGCAAAAGTCACAGAACTTGGCTCCACCAGTTCCAGCTACAGTAAGAGTGAATGGGTCTTGTTTGGTGCAATGACTAAGTTATTTTTGCTTGGAGTAAGTTCGATAGAAATTTTTCCTGCCCAGTTTGGCAAGTATCTTAAAAAACCTGAAGATGAGGAAAGATGACAAAGGAACTCTAAGTTTCAGTTTTACTTTAGTGACAGCATTTCCATCTGAACCAGAAAGGTTAACATAAACTCCTGGAACGTTAGGGTCAAGTCTTCTTATTTCTCAATGGTTGCATACTGGTCTGTTTGTTCTCTAGCTTGTGGTTGTACTGAGTTTCTCAAAAGCGAACCATTCATAGTTTGCCCATGTTACTGTTTGAACTAAGTCAGAGTTAGAATATATCTTATATCCCTGAAAACTTCTGGAGCATATTGGTATCCGACATAGAAAATTCCATTGCAACCTTTCTTGTCAGACAACTTGGCAGAAGGTTTTTATTTCAATGTCTTGTTCCACGTATAAGAATGAGTTGTCAATAGAAATAATATGAAACCTGTCGCAAGCAATAT